TATCTTTTACAAAGTGTAACTTGAAACCTATGATAGGGATTTGAAGTCCTTGACTTAACTGAAACTGAAAAAATATATTAGTTGGCCAAAGTAGTCAAAATGTGGGGCTGGGCTGGAGGTGACCAAGGACAACAGGGAAGGCAAACTGCAGAATATATTTTCAAAATTTTAACAGCTCCTGTGGTCAGTCAAGCATAAAAATACAGGCTATCCTTCTCATGTTGGTCTTGCAGAGCTAAAGCTAATACTTCCAAGTGGAGAACTGTGCCATAGGTCCATGACCTTGTCAGCTCTCATAAGCCCAAGTGAATCAGGTGTAGCGAATAAGTGAATGGCAGACCTCTGAGGAAGCCAAATCTGCATTTCGGGCTTTGCTCCTGGGTCTGTGCTCCGTCAATGCCCCACAGAGGTGTCTGCAGCCACTGTACTCCTACCTGTGCCAGAGTTTGCTGTAAAACTAAGGCTTGACCCTAGTCCTGTCGTAAGACTTTGTGTAATAGTAACAAAAAGTTAGTATCTTCTAGGCAAAAGCCTAAAGTGGAGTTTTAGAGATGTGATGGAGTTACCATACTGTAATACATCAGCTGAGCTACAGTAACAGCCTGAGTGCACGCTCCTGCTCTGTGCCAAAGCTGAGCTGAACTGTATTAGTATGAATCTCAGTGCTCAGCTCATGAACAGTAACTCATTAAATCACAGTTATTCTATCATCTCTATGAGTCCTATGTGATCACATTCTGCCAATTAAAAATGCATCCTGTTTTTCTGAGATAATTTATTTCTTGACATCCCTTCCTCAGACCAGTGCCACATTTCATTACAGAAGTGACTACATTTCAGTGCTGGACATTCCTTAATTATAGACTCACACATGCATAGAAAAGTAAAGATGGTCTCTTCAGGTCAGGGCTCCTACACTAAGTCTGGGTCAACAGATGCTGTGTCGAGTTTCTACTAGTCCCCAGGGGAGATGCCACCGTTTCCCAGCCAGCACTTTTCAATATTTCACCACAAAAACAGACAGAAAGGGAAACAGAGGTGGCAGCAACTTAAATCTTACTCGTTGAAAAAGCGAACTGTTGTCTTCTTGTCCTTCCTCCTGATGCCTGGAGAGCAATGCATCACCACCCCTGCCCAAGAGTCTCCTGTGCAGCAGAGGAGGACAGTCACCAAGTCCTCCCCTTCTCTTGCAGCAACAGCTTCCCTGTGGCTGCAAAGCCAAATCCATCCTCGGTGTAATTCGTGACTTCCACTGAGGCAGAGCACACTAATGCGCACTTTATTGTAATGTATACTTCCCAGTGCTTTGGGATCCTGAAAGATAATAGAGGTTTCAGGAAACTTATTACTATTTGTTATATAACCTGCTAAAAAAAGGGACTTAGAGGAATTCTGCTCAGCCTTAATTACAGCAACACAGCTATAATACTGTGATCAGCTGGAGCCAGATTCAATAAAATCTCCATCCGGCTCCTGTACAGAGACCTACGTGAACCTGCTTCTTTTCCTGGGCTTCCAGCCCAGAAATTAGATGGAATTTTTATTCAAGCTCTTATGTGTCAACTTTCTTCGTCAACACCAAGCTCGCTCAGCCCAGGCAGGAAGGGGCAGCCCGACACGGCTCCCCCTCGCTGCAGGAGCACATTTTACCCGCTTTTCCCCCTCCCGCCCCAGGTGATTGCTCACGCCGCCCCGGGTAAATTCTAGCGTAGCTTTCCCGGGCTCTCAGGGC